AACGCAGTGTATCACTTTAGTATCACTATCACTTTGGTGATCCAATATCCAGTACTTCCAGTAGAAATAAAAATAAAAACAAAATTATATAAGCAATATTAGTCGAAGAAAGAGTGAGATACAACGTAGAGTGGGAACCTAAGTTAGGCGCTTTGAGTGGCGGACAGCCGACGAAAGTAAAAAAACGTTTCTGCCAGATTGAACAAAAAATACTGCAATGGGCCATGTTCACATGTGAGATATGCTGTTTTATAAACTATATTGTAATAGTTAGTCGCTATACAAGTTATTCTAAATAATCAGTTCGTTAAAAAAGCTAAAAGTTTTTAAATTAAGCCCAATTGAAATTTAAAATTTGAAATTATACGTCATCGGGAATAGACCAATCAGCTTGTGTCGAAGTTTTTTTTGTTTTACAAAACCAAGCCAACGAACAAACCTACATACAGAATGTCGAAGTGAACGCACATCTAAGTGACATTTAAAAATTGACAGCACCTAACAACTAACCTTAGTTTTTTGTTTTGGTTTAATTTTATTATTAATCTGAATTTATCTGGGTAAATTATCCTGTGGGATATAGGATATATAAAGGAAGAAGAATATGAATTTATCAGCTGTATTTATAAAAGTTGAATCAAGTATTTTTCCCATTGTAAACGAAAATATGATTACCGAGATGATTACTGCATTTTTTAACAATACTCAGTTTCCAAAAGATAGAAAGGTAAAACTTTATTTATAAATTGTTTTAATGGTAGGTAGTTACAGCTTATATGAAGCAGTACACTTTATAGTAAAACATATTTATCTCAGGTTTTATTTTTAGATCTGCCAAGCAAGAATATGGAGATATTTACTTTTTCCATAAGAGAGAAGGAGACAAATTACACCTAAACATAAAGTACAGCAAAAACCTTATGATGTGGCTGTTTTTTAGTGCACAATGCTTAGGATATGTTGAATCTCAAGGTTTGTAATATTTATTATGCTTTTTTGTTTTTATATCACATATAATAAACAGTGTATAAGGCCCTTTATTCTTATAAATATTTTTTTTCTAATTTTGACATAAAGAGACATTTTTTGTAATCGCAGCAAGTGTTAAAATAATCTAGAAATAGATTTTGTTAGTGAACCTAGTAATAATTATGATACCAAAGAATGCTACAGAGCACCTATGAAATTTTGAGTTAAAACATGCCATATTTTTAGGCTATTTTTATACCCTTTTCAAAAATTTTATGCTCCTCGTTTTATGCAAAACTTAAAATGCTCTGATAGCTTCGAACGAAGTCAGCAAAGCACCTCTGTTTTATAAAGTTTTTTCTGTAAAAACAGCAACACCATATATTTATGCACTTGAAATATTATATTTTTAAAAAATACATGGTGCTTGCTAACCTTCGAAAGAAGCCAGCAGAGCAATTCGGTTTTTTAAAGCTTTTTTCTAAAAACCACACCCCATTTTTAGACTCTTGAAATATTGTAAAACTTTACTAAAAAAATTGCAATTTTTAAATAATACAGGGTGCTTTGTTGGAACAAAGTCAGCAGGACACTTCAGTTTTTTAATATATAAAAACAACTACTCATGACACATGTTTAGGCTGTTTTAAAATCCTAAAAATGTGGTAAGTATATTTGTTTTCAGAAAAAAAAACTTTGAAGTCAGCAAGGAATTGCGAATTTTTTTTAAAAATGTCAAATTTCGAATATTTTATAATATTGTAGGAGCCAAAAAATGTGGTGTGGTTTAAAAAAAAACTGGGGTGCTCTGCTGGATTCGTTTGAAGCTAACAAAGCATCCCGTAATTTTTTATTTTATAATACTCAATAGCCTAAAATGAGACATAGCTGTTTAAACAAAAATGGTACTTTTAAAAATAGCAGTTTTTTTCGAAAAGCTCTATAATATTTCAAAAATGTGAAAATGTGGTGAGCTTGTTTTTTTTAAGTTTTGAAAATCAGAGGTTCTTTACTGGATTCGTTCAGAGCTAGTAAAGTGCTCGTCTTGTTACATAAAATAAGGCATTTTGTAGCTGGTTGTATAGTTATTTTGTAACTGCATATCTAACCCTTTTATTTTTTTCAGGAGGTTGTAAACATGTGGCTTCATAGAAGAAGTGAGGAACCATCTGTAACATCTACTCAGTGTTATTGATAATGATGTACACTTGGCTAGATTGTTAAAGAAACCTCTTCATCCACTACAGGAAAATAAATCAGTACTTTTATATTCTTAGGATTTGTATATATTTTTTATTTGTAAATAAATTGTTTTTTTACTTCATTTTTCTCATTTTTTATTAAAAGGTTAATAAATAAAATTTTCAGATTTTTATATTTTTGTTTGTAAACAATAATTGAAGTTTTTATTAAAAATCACCAATGTTAATAATAATAACTTAAGTCAATATTATTCTTTCTCCTTTTTTAAAGCCACTATTAATAAAGGTATTACTTTAGCTTGACCTATGATCAATTTTTAATTTTGTGATATATTTGGTTTGACAGAAAAAAAATTAAAACCCTTTGACATTGGTTGTTTTTACTTAGATTTTCATAAAAAATAAACGGAACTGCAAACATGTTTTACTATCGTAATAACGAATAGCAACATGAAATTTTTTTTTCACATTTATCACTGTTGTCATTTTCATAAGAAGGCACACTTTCTGGTTTTTTGAAAAAGGTGGCAAGCATTGTGATATTTTTAAATTTATCACCAGTGATACCACATGAAGTTACCCGATTTATTGGAATATATAGACTTTGCTACCACATTCAACTGAACTTGGTTTTTAATATTTATCACTGTGACATAGGCGTTTTTGTTAAAATGTTTCATTTTAAACTGCTGTAAATAGGTGCCTTTGTTTTGGTAGTTTTAGTCCCAAAAAAATCTATGCATATACAGATACTCATTCCTCTTCGATTTGCTCGAAAAGTTACATTTTTATCAAAAATTACATTGGCTGTTTAAAAACTCATTATAATCCCTGAAATGTGATAATTAGGTAAATTAAATTAAAAAACAAACAAAAAAGTTTATTAAATTAATATTTACTCTTACAAAATAGGTTCTTGTAAGTTAACAAGCAATTATGCAGATATTACTAAGTAAATGTACTTGCTTAAAATTCACACACGAATGTGGTTTTAACATGTTAAATTAACTAACCCTTCTTATAACTCTTTCCACATGTATTCTTAGAGATGCTATTCTTTTACTTAATTGTACATCTTCTGGAGAAGTTTTTTCATTCTGTGATACACTAGGTGTGGCTTTACTAAAGTGTATCCCATGTTTTCAAGTAGCTGATTATTCTGAAACCCCTATCTGCCATTATATGGGATCCAGGAACCAGTTTGTTTAAATACCCACATTTTTCCATTATTTCTTTATCACTAGTTCTTCCACAAAATGATGAATAAATTCGGTATCTTCAAAACTTTCAGGAGATTCTGCATTTTCTTCCAGAAGGGTTTTTAGGTTATACACCTAAGAATTTATAGTAGCCTTATTTTCAATTTCCTGAAGGGGACAATTAGCAGAAATTGCTGCTACATCTTGATAATCCGGTGTATTTTTATTAAAAAGTTCACGAGAAACATCACTAGTAGAAGGTTGATTTTCTTCTTTCCAAATTTCTAGGAACACTAATAAATATTTTTGAAGATGAATGTGAATCATTATCACATTCTGGAACAAAACACTTTTTCGTAGTCATAATATTTATAAAAAGTACAAAATTAAACAATCAAATTCCAAATAAATTCTTGATGGAGACACTATGATGACAGATGCCATACACAGTGCTGCCATTTTGCCATTTTCTGAATTATTAAGTGACTTTTAAAACAATGAAACTTTAAATATGGTAAAAGTTTAAACAGAAATACTTTAAAAAAACATTTGATATTATATATTTAAAAGATATTTGTTTAACGATGTTTTAGAAGTCTAAAAGTAAGAAGGAGTACACAAACGAACGTACATCACTTCTCGTAAACCTTCTAGCCGGCAACGTTGTGCGCTAGCTCCTATTGGTCTATTCCCGGTGACGTCATAAATTTTAAAAAAATTCATAACTCCGGCAAATGAATAGATAAAAAAAAAATAAAAAAAATGTAATTTTATTTTCAACTCTATTATTCATAAAAAAAATTTCAAAATTTTTGAACATGCCCCATTGGTCTTTCAATAGTTTGTGCAATACATTTTTAGTATCTATAAAAAGTTAGGTTTAAACATTCATGAGGGCGAGGGGGAATTACCCTCATTACCCCCCCCTTTCCATATAGGCGCCCCTGAGAAAAGGTTACATTGTTTGGCGTACCTCAAGGTATCGTAATAGGAGTAAGTTTAAGTTAATGGTGAATTTCAATTCTTGAATTACCTTAGGTATGTTTTCTCGTCGGGCCACCCTTTATAATGAAAATAGGCGGGAAAACTTACAAAATAATATAGAAACTGATGGTAAAAAAATATTTAATACCTGCTCAGCTAGCACATAACGTTACCGAGCCTTTCGGCGATGTTTTTTTATGGGACCGTAATTTAATATCATTACTTTGTCGAGATCTGATTTAGATAAACAAAAAAATCCAACCATGTAAATGAAAATTATAAATAAACTCAGCAAAATAACCTATTTTTATACTTACTATACACAGCAATAACATTTTACAACAAATAATAAATTAAAAACTAATTATTTAATTAGAACCACATTGTTTAAACGAATATTTAGATGCTAAATTTAAATTAAAAATTCGTTATTTTGACTACATTTAATATTATATTATTAGTTTTTTTTTAAATTACTTATTTTTATTATTCATAGTAGTAACAATACTTAATATTGTAAACATAAAAAATAGATTTGCAGTAAAACCCAACTAAGACGAAATCATTTTTTTTTATCTATGACTAAATATATACAACAACCATAAATAATAATTTTAGGGTTTATTTATGGTTTTACGATTGATATCTTTATGTGCCTCTGCGGAAGAATTTTATTTATAGATAAGTGTATTATCCTGTCTTTTATAAATAAAAACACATCTAAGATATTGTGACACATCAGTTGGGTTTTGCAATTGTCAAAGATGTAAGTATATTTTTTAATTTTTGTTTTATTTAAATTTATAATTACAGGGTACGGCTAATCTCTGTCGTAATTCTATAACTCCTACTATACAGAACCTTACGATTTATTTGACGGATATCTATCAAAAGAGTAACTTATTCTAGTTGTTTTATTAATAGTGAACATTCAATCAAGTAGGTTGTGTCTTAATGAAGTGTTAGATTATTTAGTGTCTGACATTTTTCTATAAATAATGTCTATTGCCTATTATGGTCGAAAATTAATGCTAAAAGAGGCAGTTGCGAAATTGGCAAATGTATATTACAGTGGATAAGAAGAACTTTCCCACATGTGCGCGAAATATCATTATTTTTTGTCACATGTGGTGGCCAAAACCGCAACATTTCTGCCCTATTTTTTAACCGACTTCAAAAAATAAGGATGTTATCAATTCGTCGCGATTTTTTTTTTTATGTATGTTCAGCGATTATTCTTTAACACGGTGTCCGATTTCAATGATTCTTTTTTTGTTAGAAAGGGGGTATTTCAGGGGTGGTCCCATATAAATTTAGTCAAAATCTAATAATTGGATCCATGAGAAAATCCTCAAACTCTTCATTTTTTATGTATGTTTAGCGATAATGCTTTACCACCTTGTCCGATTTATACGATTCTTTTTTTGTTAGTAAGGGGGTACCTCAAGGGTGGTCCCATATAAATTTGGTTAAGATGTGGCATCTGCACGTTTTTGAAGTCGGTTTTTTAAAATTTTTAATTTGTAATACTTGTTGTATATTGTACAAAACAAAAATCTATGAAATTTGGTAATTTGGATTCAATCAATACATAGTGCCACCAAGAAAGAAAGAGAAAGAAGTAATGTTATTGCGCACGATTGATTAAATATTATGCTAATAACTCGATCAAATAGGGGACAAAACAAGAAATATGATATGCATACTGAAAGATGATCACATTTGAATAGTTAATAGGTATTTTGTTAAAGAATTACACTTATCCGTATAGTAGATTTAAAAAAGTTGGGCGAAGGCTTTTTAGCAATAGAAAAACCAATACCGAAGGCCAGCAAAGTACAATTTTTGAAAATAAAAATGCTGCGATATGTAAAAAACATAAAAAGAACAGCCAGGGGCCCTATCCTCGGCTCTCGTTTTCTAAAAAACGTATACGCTTTAGCAAAATGCGAACGATTCGCTATTCTCGATATTCATTTTGAAAACGTGTACTTGTGTAAAGTTAGCTCCCGCAGCCAGCTCCTATTTCCAGCTCCCAGCCACCATCAAAAAGCCCAATGGGCGTGTTTAGTCAAATTCAAAAATATTTTTTTTAAATATGTTTTTAAAATTTTTCCCTTTTCAAATTTTCCTACAAGAATTTTTTAAAATTAAAAAAACAAGCAAATTTGAAACGCGCGCCCATATGATTTTTAAGCATCGTCATAATGAACCCTAAAATCTGATTGGCTAATTTATAATCTTCCAGGCAATAGTCGATATGTTTTTACCTTGTTGCCGCTTCCTATAAAGAATTACTGAAATTTCGGATATTCTACAATTTAAAGGTTAAGCCCTATTTCACACGAAGATACTGTATGCCAGATACGCGCATCCGACATACAGAATCGCAGTCGAAAATTTGGGCTGCTGTATCGAATTCCGCATCTCTTCAATCAGTACTAAAATAATCACAGTGGCGTGCATAGGTTGGAATTATAGATCTAGAAGAGTGCATTATACTGAGGTATATAATACAGTGACTCACATAAAATTCACATCGTATAGGCTTTTTTGTAAATGCTGTAGATTAATTTTGACTTTGCCATCTTCTATTGCCTTAAAAATGATAACGAATGACATGCAAATGGACAAACACGTGACCTTTTTGAATGTCTAAAATGACATTTTTTCCTAAAAATTGCAAAAATGACAATTTCGTAAAATTGCTCGACAAAAAGTTGCTTATTTTTTAATTTTTTGCCAATATAGCCCGTGTCAAGTTTTTATTTTCTACCAATTCAGTTTTGGGTTACTAGAATTTAGGCAAGTTGTATAAAATATTTTTTAACACAAAAACATTTAAAAGAAGCGCATCGCGTTAACAGATTAATTTTTGCAGGTTAGCGTAAATTCTAGTAACCTTAAAATGAATTGGTAAAAAAAATAAAAAAAGTTGAAAATTGGTATATAGGTAATACATAAGTAACTTTTAGGCATAGGTTTTTTGCATTTTTTTACAAAAAAGTCAATTTTAACATTTGCAAAAGTCACGTGATTTTCCATTTGCATGTTATATTGGTTATCATTTTTGAAGCAACAAAAAATGGCAAAGTCAAAATGTATCATTTAGAAAGAAAAATCCCATACGATGCACACTTTATGTGTAACACTGTATATTAAGAAAAAGAAATCCCTGTTATATTTATAGTAGACAGGGTAGATAATGAAATAATATTCCAATTAATACAGTAAAAACTCATAAATCAATTTGGAACCAATTAATGTTGTTTTACCAAGAAAAATGTACGAGTTTGACGCAAATGCATCTATAGAGTACATTACTTTAATATTAAAAGACTGGGCATACAACATGCGTAGAAAAGACGGTAAAGAATATAAAAATTCTGTAGTTTAGGCTAATATTTTATTCGTAAAATAATTAAAAAAAAAACTCTTAGTGCATCTAATTTAATCCTTTCTCAAATAAATCAAACTAAATGCACTCAGGATACCTATCTACCATTGAAAAATCCTGCGCCTATGATATAATCTCCGTTGTAAAAGTATCTATATCTAAAAAGGTCCATATATCGTTATAGTAATTATGTATGCGGCATACGCATTCAGCGTCCGCGGCTGAATGTGCCGGGATACAGAAATTCCATATCGCGATACTGTATGAATCGCCCGTACCGTATGAATCGCCCGTACCGTGTGAATAGGTCCATTTGAATGTATAGTCAGCCTGAATCTCGGATACGCGTATCTCGCATACAGTATCCTCGTCTGAAAGAGCCCTAAGAGCGTATAATTTAACACAGAAACATATACGGAGTGGCCCAAAAGTCTGGAAACGGCCAATTATCTCGTAAATTGCTAATCCTAATTGTACAAAATTTGGGGTACACCTATTTTGGGATACGGATATTCCAGAGTTGATATTTGCAATGTTGCCAGATTTGCCGTTTCTCTTATATTATTAGTCACTTTGGTTTTTCTAATTCATCACCCTGTATATTCAGTCATTATTGGAATCTCCCATTCAATACCAGTTCAACCATATGTAACACTTATGATTTTACGTAGTCTGGAAGGTGTTAAATAAATAAAATATCACAGATTCTTTAGTGACCAAATGACGCGGTATATCGCGCAAAAATAGAGTGCTTCAAATAATTGATTTGAAAGTGAACTTTTTAAAGTACTATTACTTTATTATTTATTATCCATTTAAAAGATTTACTACATAAAAAAAGTTTTTTTGTGCTTAAACAGTTAATAGCATTAAATTCGCTAAATTCGTTTACACTAAACACGTCCATTCAGAGCACTGCTATTTTTAAATTATCAGAGTAAGAGACTGCTGTGCAGTGTGCATATGAACACTCGGCTTATTTCATATTAAACCAAATTAGGATATTTTCATTATTTATACAGGGTGTAACAAAAAGTTTGTATATTAAACCAAAATATCTGGGATCGTGAATAAGCCGATTTAATGTAACTTACTCTTAAACAGTTTGAATATTTTTATGACTTTTCTACTCAAAATATGGTGAAAACATCCAAAATAAAAAATTAAAAAATTGGAAGTATTTTTAAGCGAGTGCTTGGTTTAAAATATTTTCGATTTTTTAAACCGCTTAAATTTTAGCGATGCAACTATGACAAAGCTAAAATCTTTGAACCAGTCAGAGCTGTTTTTTTAGGTACCATATTGGTTTAAAATATTAAACTATATTTTAATTAATAGATGGCAAAAATCGAGTGAAGGTGTAATAGTGGTTCCGCTAAAAAAAAGTATGGTACCGAATTACATATAGTCCATAGAACGTTTTGTCAAAGGACCCCGCAATAATCTTATGGAAATTGGGTTTCTGTCAAATTGTCTGAATTTTTGATATGTTGTAGATTTTGGCCATCCTGACCAAAAGTCTTCATGGGCACAAAGTGCCAAAATGAATATTTTGGCAGCTACGGAGCTGCCAAAGCTCACCTGACCCGTTGCAAAACTATTCATTTTCAATACTATTTACAGATGTCAAAAGCAAATTTTAATTATTCTAATATACAGGGTAATGTTTTTCAGGTCACTGGATTCAACCTTCATGTCAGATTGGACGAATTGACCGTTGACAGCTGTCAATACACTGTCAACGAGGAATAGAAAAGTAAATATTCTCTGTTGACATTGAGAGTTTGGGTTCTTGAGGTCGCTGAATTCAATTCTCATGCCAGATTGGCAAAATTGACAGTTGACAGCTGTCAATTGAATTTCAACGATGAATATAAAAATAAATCTCCTCTTTTCACATTAAGAGTTTGGGTTTTTGAGGTAGCTGAATTCAATTCTCATGCCAGATTGGCAAAATTGGCAGTTGACACCTGTCAATTCACTGTCAACGAAGAACAGAGAAGTAAATATTTTCTGTTGACATTGAGAGTTGACAGTTATTTGACAGCTGTCAACTGTCAGTTTTGCCAATCTGGCATGATAATTGAATTCAGCGACCTCAATGTCAACAGAGAATATTTACTTCTCTATTCTTCGTTATCAGTGAATTGACAACTGTCAACTGTCAATTTTTCCAATCTGAGATTAGAATTAAGTTCAGCTCCCTCAAAAGCCCAAATTTTCAATGTCAACAGAGAATATTTTTTCTATTCCTCGTTGACAGTGTATTGACAGCTATCAACGGTCAATTTGTCCAATCTGACATGAGGGTTGTATCCAGTGACCTCAAAAACATTACCCAATATATATTAGAATAATTAAAATATGCT